GTACTAGTACTTGTAGAAGTAGAGATGCGTGAGTCCATTGAAGTTCGGTGGATTGTAAGACATGGCAAAGGGGACGTGGCTTGGGCAGGATGGTTAACGGCCACACCCTCGAGCTGTTCAACGCTGTCAGCTTCCGATAAAATTTGCAGAGTAGCGGACCGCATAAGGATAGGCCAGCCCACTGCATGGCAAGCCAAGGATTCAGAGATTTTGAAGATTTTTAACTATTGCTATGGCTGTGGGACATGATTTTGTACTGAAATAGGTTAAGGCTAGAGGTTTGACATGTTAGAAGGCTACTCCGTGGGCTTCCTCTCTCGGGAATCATGCAATCTTATGCCTGCGTTTTCTTCATATAATTCCAAACTACGGAATTTTATTGAATGTAATTTTATTCTCTCGTCATTGGCACAATATTCTTTCCTCCTACAAACCTGAATATACTTTTACGAGCTTAGTGTAAATGCAAAGAAGTAACTCAAGCTGCTGTAAGAATCCCTATAATGTAATATCATTTCACAAAATTCGCTGACTTTTGAAGCCAGAGCAATGGACAGTACAACATAGAAATCAGCAACTCTCAGCATACGGGACAAACATCTATGTCAGGAACCCAGGTTCTTCAACACAAGGAAGGATTGCACGATCCAGCGAGTGTCTTAATATATAACCCAACAGAATAATGAAGCTCGTGCGTTGGAGAAGATAGCAACAGTAGACGTAAGCCTGCATTCGAATTGAGGTTGCTGGTTAGATCGATTTCAGAGAACGTTAAGAGGTTACAAGAAAACTAGAACCTAGCTGACTGACTATAATTTTCTTGAGGCATGCTTCCTCATTTATCTGCATTTTGTGTTGCTATGCAGAAGTGCTTGGTAAATCTTCATTTTTGGCAACAGGTTCAGTGATTGGAGGTCGTGGCGCTGGTTTCGAAACAATAGGCACTGGTTTCACGGGCCTGTTTGCTTGAATTTTGTCAGCTGTCCCAGAATCGACATCAAACTGATCATGAAAAGAAATGGCATCAAGTCAACTAAAACTACATCAAGAACATTAGAAATTGTTGAGAGTTCTTCATCCCTATGACAATTTGATACGTGATACCAAAGGACTTCACCCAACTTGGACTTCACACAACTACTTTTCGCTGGATGCGTGTAAAAGTTATCAGAAGCTTAATACTAATAAGAACAGACAAACCTTAAAGCCGCAACCAGATGCACATGCATGAAAACATTCCTGTGAGCAGCAAAGAGTCAGATCGAAAAGAAAGTAAAACGAAAACATTGGCTGAAACAAATATGAATTAACTTAATATCTTCCAAGTTCACAAATGTCGGAGCAGGGTGGGAATCCATAGACGGGTAGTTAAACGTTGCACGTGAATAGTCTAAACTTGATAGACGTCGAAATCATCATCAGAGTCTAAGAAATTCTGGAAAGTAACACCATGTTGATTAAGTACCTCTGAGTAACTGGCAGACCCAGGAGATCGGTCAATGTAAGCACTCCACTGGTGGTCCTTGAATACAGGATCCTTATAGCATATCTCAGTGCATTCCTCCAAGCCTTAAGATTCAACAACACCAACAACTAATATTCAGAGTTACAGTTTATATATCAAGGTCATGATTAAACTCCACGACCACATATAGGTCTTGCAAAGACCAACAAAACAGAAAAACCAGACAAAAACCAACATGCTATTAGCTTGAGGGTTTGGAGAGACATTCTGACACTTCTGTCCATTGTTTCAATGCATTGGAAAATCAAAATGGAAGCAGAAAAAATATTGTCTGGACAAATAACTTTCGTCTATACATACGTGTTGCTGAAATTAACTAAAGAAAGCTGTAGGCAAATTCAACATTGCTAAACACAGTGCCTAGAATTCACATCTAAGGAAGCTAACCAACAGAGCATTCGGATATAATGACGAGTCACTAGTAGAAACTAGAGCATGACCATGAAAATCTCAGATTGTATGTTCTAACTTGCAAGTAAGAAACTATAACAGTCCAAGCCTACCGCTAGCAGATATTGTCAGTTTTGGCCTATTACGCATCACCGTCAGCCTCACAGTTAAAACGTGTTTGCTAGGGAGAGGTTTCCATACCCTTATATGGAATGTTTCGTTCCCCTCTCCAACCAATGTGAGATCTCAAAATCCACCTCTCTTGGGGGCCAGCGTCCTCGCTGGCAAAACACCCAGTGTCTGGCTCCGATACCATTGGTTGGCTCAAGCCCACCGCTAGCACATGTTGTCCGTTTTGGCCCATAACGTATCGCTATCCGCCTCACGGTTTTAAAACGCATATACTAGAGAGAGGTTTCCACACCCTTAGAAGGAATGCTTCGTTCCCCTCTCCAACCGATGTGGGATCTCACAAAAACCATGAAAATCACATCTAGAAAATACTTATAGTGAACTGAAGACATGAAAAAAGAGAAAGAAGAAGGAAAGAATATCACTTACATTCTTCCCAGGCATCTCCATCAGCATCACACCCCTTTTTGCAAAATACCCGCCCTACATTCAAACCATTGAGAATATGCACAACAAGTATTATCAGACTACCCAAATTCAGACATAAACAAAACTAATGTTATAATCTCCCTGTCAGCTATTATAATGGCGTCATCTTAGTATCAGATTCCAAAGGATACCACAAGAAACCAACCATCTTCGTTCGTAAGTAAACACTATTCGCTGCCAAAGTCAAATAGATTAGCATCCTGACAGGACGCCCAAAATCCATATCACAAATACAATTCATACAATCTCAAATTTCCGATACGAAACATGGGATTAAAGTATATCCTTCGACAATCGTTTACTTGAACAAATGGGGGCATTTCCCGTCAACAGTTTCATCAAAATACTATTTCCAGGAAAAATCATGTCTAATAAAACAACTAATGAACCAATCAGACGCAGGGAATTCAACGATTCACCGTAATGTTTTGCAATCGACGAGTAATAGAACACGGATGTACATCGACGTGAGTTTCCAGCTAAACATTAAGAAGGTTTCACAGCTAACAAAGCAAATCGAAACCATTTTAGGACATGGCTAACGAAATCAAAACAAGAAACCGAACATTTGCGAAAAATATATAGCAGTTGTAGGAAGGGCGAAGAGAGAAAATGCTGTAAAAATGGGAGATGAAGAAGGTCGTACATGGAATCTTGGTGAGGGCTGCGTATTTCTGCGTGCATTGGTTTCCACAAGGCGACGACCATTGTTGCGGTATCATCGTATAACACACAGCTTCCTCAAAAGTTCAAATCTCCCCCCTCTCTGCCGATTGTTTTCTTCTTCCCTGTTCGTGAGGTTAAGGAGGGGGCAAAAAGAGATGAAGCTGCAGCTGAGGAGCATGGTGGAATGGTGGACCAGATCTTTCGATCGCTTGATAATGGTTGAATTGTCTCGAGATCTCGCGTTGTCCGAAATTTATTATTCATTATTTTGATCTTATATTTTTCCTTACATTTAAACCTAAATGTTGTACAATACTAACAAAAATTAATATTAAATGTTGCACTAAAAATAAAAGCTCAGGTCAATGCTAAAAAAACAAGGAAATTTTTTAATAAAATCCATCAAAATAATAATATTATTATTGTCAAGTAAAAATGACATTAAATTAAAACATCAAATTTGTCACACATTTAATTTGATTAATCAGTCCATTAATTTTACTAATTGTTGCAATTACTTTGTTAAGTATTACAATCACATATATTTTTACTCTTAATTCGATCCGTTATTCTTCTGCATTTGGTTTAACAATGTAATCTGCTAATATAATTTGTTAAATATTGCAATTGGCCCTTTTAATGAGTTGTTGTGATGGGTAACACTTACATAATACAAATATCTATCTATCGGCAATAATTAACAAAATATGATTAATCAAATTAAAAATTTAAAAGGGTGCACTCATTCAAATGCTACACAACATGCTAATACTTTTTATTTATTTATTAAAATAACAATATTGATATCGACATTTATACCTTAGTCATCTATTTAATATCAATGATCGATGAACACAATATTATAAAATAATCAACTACTACTTTATGATATTAAATGTTAAAATCAATTCATACAACACCAAGATTCCATTAGATCATAATAGAATAGTTATAAAATTTTATTAAATCATAAAAATTAACTTGAAGATCTGTATTTGTATTTGAATAATTTTACCGATGGTTGCAACTTCTGGGATAATAGTAGTTTTTTACAATAATTGTGCCAATTATTTAAGAATATTTGTTTCTAATTTAGCCTATATTAAACTATAAAAGATAATTTTATATATTTTTTTTAAATCTAGAGAAAAGCAAATGTTTCTCTAAAATTGAAATTTCATAAAACTAGACTCTACATTTTAATAAATATTACCAATTTAACCTTCTTATAAATACATTAAAAAAATTCAGTTGATGAAATTTATAAACATACACATATTAGAAATTTGACGAGCACCTTAGAGATAAATTAAACTAAAATAGGATTTTTGTTAAACTTAATTAAAAAAAAAACCTTTTTAGTTAAAATTAGTAATAAATTTTACTACAATTACGGTGTTTAATTTGATCAGTAAAATCCGACATTCCTATTATTTAGGCTTAGGATTTTGTTATTTGTCTTTTAATTGATTTTCAAAATTTTGTATTATTTTTATGAATGGTTTATTTTATAATTACAACATATTAGTTTCAAACATGATTTAAAAAATTTGGATTTTATTTTTTCTAAAAACATGCGAAACAAAAACCATTATATTTCAATATTTTTTTACTATTAAAAAAATGGCATATAATTTACTGAAATGATTTTTGGCATAAATAAGGTCACTATCATTGAAAACAGAAAACGGTTTAATCATGACCATTTAGGAAAGGAAATTGAAATTTTATTTAAACCATTATTAATTGAAATAAAAAATAATTTATTTTAATGCCCAAAAGAATATGAATATGGACGCGCCGCGCGTGGAAGAATCAGTGAAAACTTCTCCCCGAAGGGAGCCCATCGAGGCGCCGAAAATCAATTCGATTATCCTTTTGTTCCAATCATTTTGTTTAATGTTTATTCAAGCCACTCGGTACTCAGTAATATTCCAGTTCTCATTGCCTTTGCCGGAGACATTGCTTCATCCAACTCCTAATCTATGTCAGTTCCTTTCGAAGATTTTATTTTTGTTTATGTTTATCCATATAGAGCTGTGGGTCGAATTATCCTTTTTCTGTTTTTGATTTCATTTCATTTTTCTTCCGAGGAATGTCGGCTTTGTTTGAAGCTTGAGTTCTTCCCTGGTGGAATTTTGTTCATGTTTGATTCTGGCTTCTTTAACTTCTGCATTTTGACCGGAAATCAGTATTTTCTTCGACATTTTGATTCTGTTGGTTCTGGGTAGTTTTCCTTTTCGTTTCTTTTAGTTTCTTCCGATTCTTTATTTGGTTTTGATTTATGCGTGAGCTTGCACGGTCTTCTTCATAACATCAGTAAGTGTATGTAAGAGAGGTGGAAGAGTGAGATCGAGTCTTGTCATTCCCATAATTTCTGGATATATGTAGATGAACTGGTAATTTCTTCTCAGGAGTGTTAGGAACAACTAACCTCCACAGTAGTATTATATTATCCACTTTGCGTAAAAGCTCTCATCGCTTTGCTTTTGGTTTCCCCGAAAGGTCTTATGTCAGTGGAGATAATATTCCTTGCTTATAAACCCATGGTCAACCCCTTAATTAGCAGATGTGGGACTCCTCTCCCAATAATCTTCAATAATGAGATGCTCGGACTTTTAAGAATGCAGGCCTTGTGTTGAAAAGATGCTGTCTGGTATAGATATAATGAACATCCATTCTTTGAGTCATAGCAAATTCGCCACCCATTTGGTTTTGAGTATTGCAGGGTCGACTTTGAGTCTAATGACGTAGAAAACAAAAAGATCTTACATGTACGACAAAGAATGACGATTCCTATAAATTTGAATCATCCAATAGTTTCTACCGTCCCATTTTCTCCGTTTCTGGCAGTTTTATCACTGGTTTAATTGATGGATCTACGATGTCCCGTAACCTTTACCATTTAATCTTTATTTGGGACATGACGTTATTATTATTATGATTCGTTTTAAACATTGCTATCATTATGATGTTATTGAAACGCATTTCCTTGGTTAATGGAAATAATTTGACTTTTTGAGTTCTAATTTTTGGACAAGTTGGCTAATGTAGAAATGTATTCGATCTTTCCTTTCTACTTTCTATGTTTTGAAAAGAATGACAGGGAAGGAAACATGTGGAGTGAATGGATCAAAATGTGTGGAGGAGGACACCATGCTGAAGTCTTTGTTTGATGCCTTTGGTTCTGCATTTTCACTTAATGAGATAGCTTCTGCCTATTTGAAGGCAGGCTATAACGCAGACTTGGCGGGTGAAATCCTGTTCCAAATGCAGGGAAGCACCTCTAGCTCCGCATCCAACGGTGAGTTAGGAAATGGAGATAATTTGGGTCAGCATAAAGTGTTTGAGAAGTCGAATCAGGTCAAAGGGAACCAGAAAACAGGAAAGTCAAAGGTCCAGCCTTTTTCAGCAGGCACAGTTTCTAACGTTATTGGTAAAGAGTATGCTCGTTCCAAGCCATCAGCAAATAATATTACCAAGGTATACAAACCGGTAAAGGTGGGGGTAAAGGCTTTGCATGAATCTCCAAGTGAAGGAGACTGTACAGGCATACCTAGTGACTTCCACCTGCATCATGATATGGAAGATTTTCTCTTCAAAATGCTTGGTGACGGGTTCAAGTTGAAAAGGGAAGTGATTCGAGAAGTTCTTGGTAGGCTGTTATCTTTATCTTTTCCAGTCATCTACAATTGTACCTTTTAAGTATCAACTCATTGGAAAGTAACTAGATATCTTTTGTTTGTCTTGAAGAAACTGTCCTGTTATGATTGCTTATGTTTCTGAGAAGTTTGTTCTGTTGATCTAGTAGGCTAAACAAATTTTATTGCCTGTGAAAAATTGGTTAACCTTGCTCGTATTATGTGCTCAAAGATCATGAAAGTTTAGCGTGAAGACTTTTAGAATCAATTGGCGCCTTTAGAATCATGTTAGAAGTTTGCGGGTCAGAACTTTACAATGACTAATATAATTTATTTGTCATATATTTGTCCCAAGTATAAATTAACTTTTGGCCTTTTGAACCGTAAGGGATATTGAAATGGTGTCAATGAAATATTTCTGAACTCTCTACTTTGGTAGTTTTAAGTCACACTTGTTTTCTTGTGTCATCTCAACTTTAAGCACTGTGAAGACTTAGGAACTTCGTTATTTAGCATCTTCAGTAGAAAATCCATGAACCAAGGGCAGCCATGCAGTGCTTTCAGTATTTGCACAGCCAGCCTAACGAAGGAAAGTTGTTGAAGGCAACTTGATTTGAGAAAAGAAAATTATTTCAGTATATATAAGCCTTAGAAGAGAGTTTAAAATAAATAATAATAGTATAAAATTGCTATCTGTTGCAATAGAATCGTATATTTATTGTGTTGTTTGTAGTTGACTAGTATTACTTTGAAGTATGGGTATTGGCTTCTTATTGAAATGCTTACTATTGATTACGATATGCGAACTCTAACCAGTTAATAGGACTTTTATTCTTACTGCAGGTAGTTGTGGATATGATATGAAAAAGGTACGCAAAATGCCAGTTTTAATGACTTTTCCTGTCTCTGATGGTTTTCAAGAATTGCAGTTCTGCACGGAGTCTATCTTCTCTTTAGAAAGATTGAAGTACATAATTTGCACATCTTCATCGTAATCTATAATGACATCTGAGATAATGTCTTATTTAAAAATATAAGCACATGCTGCCACATACCTCCATGTTTCGAAGAGACTTGCCTACTGAACCGTTGCATTTAGTTTTGTGTGATGATAAAATCATTGTGAAAGTTACTTAATTTCTATGTTTCTCATAAAAATGAAATCATTTTTCAAGTTCTACGTGATGATTCAATCATCTTGCATCTTCCAGAAAATATCTGCTCTCTAAGATCATCATGAGAAGACATGCGTTTTGCATTTTGCATTTTGCTTCTTGATTGTATTGTAGCAAGAGATTTTACCATTAAGACGTTTGCCAACTTATGATTACAAGTAAGACTTCTCAAGGATATCTTTTTGAGCTTTCAGAGCATGGAGATTTTGCTTAATCGGTCAATAACACCGGTGGATGAAAGACTTGGTTCTGGAAAAAATTCCACTGACATGGTTAGTATGACTTGAGTACTTGGTTTTCACATAGCAAATATTGTGAATAGTCGTTATACTCGTGAAATCTTTGTAGTTTTGTTGCTGGTTAGAATTATGGTGGAATTTTCTAAAATAATTTATAAGTTATATCGTTATTTGAATGGTTTTATCAGATAGATAAATCTATGATGTGTTAATTTCCTTCAGTTTTGAATACTCTTGAATCGTGTTAAAGCCTCCAACGATTCCATTTCCTCTCAAAATCATCGTTTTCAAAGTGAACTTGGGTCGATCCCTTGTGTCTATGGCTAGCACCTTTACTAAGACAGACTTACCTCCTGCATGCCCAAACTCCTTTTGGAACCTCGACTTTCGAGGTTAAGGTCTAGGGCCTTATCTGACCATTTATCAAGCCTATATTTGTCCCTTGTGTGTTGACATTGTTACCTCTGTCTCGCTTATGCCTCACCTTGGCTTCAATGCACACATTATATGGTGTGTTGAATGATGCACCATCCTCCTTGGTCGCGTCACGACACTCGTCTGTCTTGGTCCTCACATGACCGGATGGACGCTACTTAAGGGTCACAACCTAATCTCTTCATAGTTATCGTTCTCGATGACTTTCTCGGACGCCAATCGCTCCATGAATTGTGACACCCCTCACCTCCAATTCAACAGACAAGAAACTTGTTGTCTTTGAATGCATCATTCAGAAAACATCGTCTTTAATTTCGTAGACTGTTTTAAACTTTTTTTTTATTATTTTCTTTTTAAAAAAATTTGTACATTTTTTTAAAAAATTCTATGTAATACTATAGCCATTGTTGCGAGTTATATTTTTACCTTTCGTAAATGGAAAGGTTTTGATGGGTAGGACTGATTTTTAGATTCTTTTTCATAAATTCACGGGAAATAAAGTTGTTGCTGTACTTTTGAATGTGTTTTCTTTCTTTAGTACCCGATTGCTATCCTTTTGCAGACTGTAGCTTCGTGTTCAAGATCAGATTTAATTTCACGTCAGAGAAATAAGCCAGAAAACCATTATCTTGGAGGGTAAATATCTTTCTTAGTCTGTTCCCTCATTATCCCAATTTCAATTTGGTAGCTTTGCGTCAGTGTTAAGAGTAGAGAGATGACTATTGTTTTTCATATTTTTTTAGAACAAATATTATGTTCAGGATTTTCCTTGATATTCTGGTAGTCTGGATAATACCTCTTAATGTACAAAGTTAACTTGTTATTTGTTCATGAGCTCTAAATTAATGTTCATTTCTGGTCATCCAGGAATGGAAATATAGCATCAAGCAAAAAAGACATGGAGTTAACTAACCGGGAGAAGGCCAGAATTGACCTTCAAAAGGAGGTTTTGACTGCTTTATTTAATGCTTCTGAGGAACCAGAAGAGGAGTTACCAAGAAGAACAGTACCAAGAATGAAGCAGTCTAGAGCACGTGATTGGTTGCTGAGTGAACCATTCAAAGACATGGAGGCAGAGTCCGAGAAGTGTGTGGAGTACGAGGAGAAGCCTAGTCTGGATGGTAACTACAGAGTCGTCATAGTTAACATTTACTTATGGGGTCATAGAAGAGTCAAGAATTGGCTGTGAATTTCGATGAAATTGGATTAGCAATGTTAATCGTTTACCTTCTGTACTTGTAACATTCCATTATCTTATAATTCAAATGTTCAAATGGTTAAAGTCTCTTTTCAACGGTATCATTGATTGTATAAGTAAATTACTAAAGTTTATAACCGGCACAAGTGCTCTAACTGCACAGTTCAAGAAGTACTGAATAGTCCTGTTAAAAAATTATTCTATGAATGTTACTGATACTGGTTTGAGATCATTTCTATATGTTTTTATTTGTCATTTTGGCCATTATTTTTGATCCGACAGTGCACTTCCAATTGCAGATGAGGCTGAGGAAAGTAACTACCAACTTCTTCGTAAAGCTGTCAGGGAGTACCGGGGCACAATGAAGGAATATTATGCAGCGGTAGGTGGTTCTTGTGCCTTGTTTTGACTTCAAAAACTTAATTCCAGTGTCATTCGGATCATTTCTAAGATGAGAAATTTGTTTGTAGGGCATAGATGCATTTGCTAAAGGGGATTCTGTTCGAGCAGCCAAACTCATAGATGGGGTAATGGGGTAGTGTTTATTATCTTGTATTTCTCCTTTTCTTTTATTTTTTAAAATAAGTAACTGAGATTGCAAAAAGGAAAGGGAGAAAGAAATTACCCCACAAACGCCCCTAGGCCAAAGGATTATAGAAAGCTTTCCCATTTGTAGCTGTAAAAAACTGCATATTACAAAAGAAAAGCCCATTTCTCCAAGGAATCTTATTTTCAGGTGTTATTGACATTCAACATGATGATGTTGGCAGTTATAACATAGCATCAAAACTAAATCACATTTGGATGTTAACAATATCAAACTCATGTTCCTATGATATATATGCATGAGTAGGGGCACTTTTTTCATAAAAAGGCTCAAGAAGCAGATGAACAATCAAGTCAGTTGCTTTTTGAACCCAGGTTGGTGGTTATGGTCTTCTCAAGTATGCCTTTTCAACTGTTGTAATTAAATTTCTGGCTCACTTTTCCTGTAAGCAGAAATGCAGATACTGAAGACGATGAAATGTTGCTTGATTTGCATGACATTGGTGGCAAGGAGGCAGTGAGAGTTTTGAAGTCTCAAATTTCTTCACTCTCTGGGATTCCATGTGAGTTCCTCTGTTCTTTTTTCTTTTCTTTTTTAATTTCCAGCCCATAATTACCTTTCTAGTTGTTCATATCATATATTCATACAACTTTTTGTTTACTGATCAGCAATCAAACATCTTAAAGTAATTTTTGGGGCAGATGATAAAGATACCTCAAAACGGTCATGCAGACGTTTGGTAAGAACTTAAAAGTTTTATTCAATTAGGTACAATGGTGCTGTACTCTGCAAGTAGAGGGCTTCAATAGTTGCTCTCTACTCTATAAGAATCTATAGTTCAACTAGCTACTCTATAAGAATCTATAGTTCAACTAGCTAAATTATATATCATCGATCAAGATCAAACTGTAGTTTGATCCATACTTTTGAAATCTGGTTAGATTACGAAGTTTCATCTAAGCTCGGTATGTATTGTGATGTTCCTTTTCTTTTTTGGTCCTTTTTTTTTTTGGAAAAAGGTTATGAAGCTATTGGAGAAAGAGTCAATTCAGTGGACTGAGGAAGAAAATGGGAGCTCCATTGTAATTCGGTTGGATATTATTGATCGAACAGGACTAAGTTTCGTGAAAAGAATGCATTGAGAACAAATGGGCAACAAAGGAAAATGGATAGAACTCAAAACAGGAAATCCATTGAAGATAGAACTTAAATTGCATCCGGGCAAAACACCCTTGTATCTGTGTTTTTTTAATCTTAGATTCACATTCCTGAGTGTATGTTTTGGTGTGTATGGAGCTTGAGATTTGAGGCCACATCATTGGGGAGAGAAACCTTGAAGAAAATCAAAGCTTTTGTGATTCTTGGAACTCGCTTAAGGTATAACTAGTTTGTGTAAACTGTAAAGCCAAGTCATATATCCTGAAATGGCTTGTAGGTTTCTAGTTATGAAGCTATAGTAATACTTTACACGCACCATCTCCAAACTTAGTGCATGTCATATTTTTACTTCAAAATGACTCTCATATGATGATTTGATTTGATCCCCTTGATTGCTAGGTTTCTTTTGTTCTGAACAATTTTCGGTAGAGATCGAACCATTAACTTTTAAGAAATGATAATTGATGGTTTACCTGTTGAACGGTGCTCGAACTGAGATTTAGATTTTAATTTTAATAAATTTATGAAAATTTATCTCAAATAATTATCCTTAAAGAAATATTCCTATTAATGAATTTATCTATTTAATTTCAATAACCACTTGTTTACTAGTAAATTAAACACAATTATAAAAATTTTAAATAATAAAATTACAAATTTAGTCGTATTGTTTTGGAACATTAAAAAGAACAATTAACTATTTTATAATTTAATCATTAAATTTTTAATTTTAATTTCAAAACATATTAGGGGAACTATAATGATTAGACATAAAATTTAAACCTTAGATTCAGACTAATTAGACCTAATCTATAAGAAAAAAATTAAAACGAAAAAGAGAGAGAGTAAAGTTATTAAAACGAAAAAGTAAAAGAATAAAAGAGAAATTTCAACATAGTGTTCTAGGGCTTTTTCGCGATTGAATCAAATTCTAGTTTTGATCAATCCTCTCTCTGTGTGCAGCGGGTCCGGAAGAACAATGAGTGGTTCTGTGAAGGACGTACAATCTAAAGCGGAGCTTGACGGCCTGCTTCGGAGTGATGCACTGGTTATCCTCCATTTCTGGGCTTCATGGTGTGAAGCTTCTAAGCACATGGACCAGGTCTTTTCACACCTTTCTACCGATTTTCCTCACGCTCGTTTCTTAAGGGTGGGTCTCTATATCTCTTGAATACTTGTTTTCGGTGATCTTTATCTGCCTGTGATTTTTTATTACTTCGATTGTTTATCTTCTTAGTTGTTCATGGAGATTATAGGTTGAAGCTGAAGAGCAACCCGAAATATCGGAAGCGTACTCGGTTGCTGCCGTTCCTTTCTTTGTCTTTATCAAGGTCAGTTAGAGTAACCTGTTTTTATTTTTCTTTGTGCTTCTTTTGCGTTCATTTGAGTAATGGTTGTGCCAATACTATTTGAATTATTTATAATTTCCAAGTTGGCTCTGTAGATCATGGAATCCTATTACGTTTTTGACTTGACGAGTATAGTTTCCTACGGATAGTCGAACCAATTGTATTCTCTAGAGAAATGGCAAAAGTTCGACGTTTTGGCTGTCTGATCTTTGAACTTGACATCGCAATTTTCCTTGTTCTTTACGTTGATAATGAAATTGTATTACGGGGTTGAATAGTACACGAGTAGTTTCCAACCTGCAGTCTGTCCAATTGTATTTACTGGCGGTATGGCAGTATTGTTACGTTTTGGTTGTCTGATCTTTAAACTTGACATTGCAATTTTTCTGGCTGGTTATGATTATTTCTTTTAAAGCTAGAATTATCCTTAAATTTATTGGAAAAGTATAATATATTTTCTTACGAAATTACAAGTAAATTGACTTAATCATGTTGGATTAGAAATATATATCAACGGACAGCAAAATAAAAGAACGCTGAGGATAATGTGGTTGTAGTGGAATTTCGAATTCTTGATCGGTAATTCTTGCACAGTAACTATTTGTGCTTTTAGAACTCCATTTTAGTGTTCTCTTCACTTTTCATTTTCCTTTTCCACATCTTTTCTTTGCAGCATCTTTGAGTGCATTGTTGCAGGTGAAGGTCATTATTATATTAAATGCCAAACTAGTTAGATACGCTTGTATTTGTGGGTTTAAAGGATGCATCTCATCCAAATCAAGCAAAAAACTTTGTCTTCTTGGTAGATGCACATAGCTTATATAGCCACATCCACATCAAACAAAAAGAAAAGGCCTTATGGAAAAATCTTATAAAGGCTAAATATACTCCTACTTCAAACAAAAATCACCCCCTCCATCTTCTACAAAGGGCCTTGGAAGTACATAAAGAAACATCAAAACCTCATCACCAACGGAACTTGCCATAAGTTGGGGTGATGGGGGAAACACATCATTTTGGACCGACCCATGGATTGAAAACACCACACTAGCCTTGAAGTATTCACTTTTGTACAAGCTCTCTCATAGCAAAAAAGTTACGATTAAAGAAATGTGGAATGTTGTCAACAAATTTTGGGACGTGAAGCTTGGTAGGAATTTAAAGGATAATGAGTCAACGGAGTGAGCCGAATTAAGCCTTGACCTTGCCCCTGTGGTATTGTCAAACAAAGCAGACTCATTGACTTGGCTCCCCAGCACTGACGGGGTCTTTTGTACAAAATCCTTGATGATGGACAAAAGGGAAAAAGTGGAAGCAATAAATCCCACGCTAGCATAGACAGTATGGAAATGACATCAACCTAAAAGGGTGAAGTTCTTCCTTTGGGAAATAGTGCATCAAGCCATTAGCACAAGTGAAAATCTTCAAAAAAGAATGTCTTGTATCACTCTTTCTCCAAATTGGTGTTCCATTATGCAAGAAAGAAAATGAATCACTGAGCCACTTGTTTATGCAATGCACATACGCTCAGAATTTCTGGACAACAATTCTTAATATATTTGGATGACATCTCACATTTCCTGGGGAGGTAAAGGAATTTTTGGATATGACCTTAAGGTACCACCCTTTCAAGAGTACAAAAGCCTTATTATGGAAAAACCTCATTATGGTTTTATTTTGGAATATGTGGAAAGAAAGAAATCAGAGAATATTGGCAGAAAAGACAGACCTACACAAAGCTTTTCGACAATGTTGTTTACCAAGCTATATCTTGGTGTAAACTGTCTAAAATTTTTACTTCCTATAGTTATACCTCCCCATTGCAAATTGAAAAAGTCTTTTGTAAACACCGTGGATTATACATCCCTTTTGTAAATTTCAATCATCAATGAAAAAAAAAAAAAAAAAAGCTATTTTTATTATAGTTAACTTCATGTTTCAGGATGGCAAGACTGTTGATACCTTGGAAGGGGCAGATCCAACTAGCTTGGCTCATAAAGTTGCAAAAGCTTCTGGTTCAATTAATGCTGGAGAACCTGCAGCCCCAGCTAGCAGTGGGATGGCTGCAGGAGCTGCTATTCTTGAAACAGTGAGAGAGTTGGCAAGGGACAATGGCTCTGTTACTGAAAGCAAGGTGCAACCTGGACTGAGCAGTGCTTCGCAGAAGAAAATTCAGCAGCTTATTGACTCTAATCCAATCATGTTATTCATGAAAGGAAGTCCTGAAGAACCAAATTGTGGGTTTAGTAGAAAAGTTGTTGACATTCTGAAGGAAGAAAATGTGAATTTTGGAAGTTTTGATATCTTATCAGACAATGAGATTCGTGAGGGATTGAAGAAGTTTTCTAACTGGCCAACATTTCCGCAGCTCTATTGCAAAGGGGAGCTACTAGGTGGGTCTGACATAGCCATTGCAATGCATGAGAGTGGTGAGTTAAAGGAGGTCTTCAGAGACCATGGCATTGGAACTTCCCATGAGGTAAAGCTTGCTGAACCCGACAGGACTGCAGGTGTTATCTCAGAAAACTCTGGCTTGAGTGCAGCTTTAGCCTCTCGTCTTAAAATGCTAGTTAATTTGAGTCCTGTTATGCTTTTTATGAAAGGAAAACCTGATGAACCAAAATGTGGTTTCAGTCACAAGGTGGTAGAAATCCTTCGTGAAGAAAATGTGAACTTTGAGAGTTTTGATATCCTTTCTGATGACGAAGTCCGCCAGGGGCTCAAAGATTATTCAAACTGGTCCAGTTACCCCCAACTGTATATCAAAGGTGAACTGATTGGTGGATCAGATATTGTCTTGCAGATGCATAGAAGTGGAGAACTCCGGAAAGTCTTAGAAAGTAAGGGAATCGTCAAGAAAGACACTAGTGAAGATCGTCTGAAAAAATTGACCACTTCTTGCCCAGTTATGCTCTTTATGAAGGGTACACCAGATGCTCCAAGATGTGGTTTCAGCTCCAAAGTTGTTAATGCCCTTAATGAAGAGGGGATTGGTTTTGGGTCATTTGATATCTTAACTGACGACGAAGTAAGGCAGGGGTTAAAAGTTTACTCCAACTGGCCGACCTTTCCGCAGCTTTATTACAAGGGCGAGCTTATTGGAGGCTGTGATATTGTACTGGAGCTACGAAGTAGTGGAGAACTGAAATCTACTTTATCCGAATAGTATCAATCAACATGAGCTGCTTTGGGTGTGTCCACATCCATTCAATTATCTCGACTACATCAACGTAGTGACATTATACATCTTCTGAAGTTCGCTTTTTATAGTTTTGATTGACCTCTGTCCCCTTCAATGTTGGTCCTTCATACTGCATGTAAAAGCAAGGGATTACCCTAGCGACCGATGAGTTTAAGTTATATGCTGTGTTGTTACCTGTTACTGGCAACTATTTTCCTTTTTCTAGTTTCTTTAGTAAGGTTTCATTGACAAGAAAGCGTACATTTATGCTAAATGTTGGGACGTATATTTCCCTGTTTCGGCTTGGGAGTACCTGTCCTCAATCCTGAAACATCTCAACTCTCATAGTATTAAACATTGTGGGATCAGGTTTATGTCCACCCTTCATAGTGAGCACAGAGTTCATTTTCATAGTTCTGTCCATCTGTGTGTATATCGGATGACTTGAAACCTCTGTTTGTACTACTCAACTCTATTGAGTAGTGATTATATGGATCTTGTAGGATTTTCGAGAAATTTTTCGATTTCTTCCGAAAGTGGATGATTACATGCATTTGAAATAGCTGTTAATTCTTCTTTTAAGGTCGCGGATCTGCCAAATCTGAAGCGAAGGTGACCAAAAGAATGGTCGGTCGGTCCCCAATGACTCTTTGATCTTTCTCTCAACACAAGAAATTCAAGGGGGTAGGTGTTATGGAGAAAGAGATGGCGCTCGCCGTTCCTCTTTTTCCATTTTCAAAGTCAAAATTTCTTACTTTATAGAAAAGTTAGATGCTTTTATATTGCATTTCGGACTTTCAAGATCAGTAGGCCAATTGCAAACCAAATTCTCTAGGAAATCCTCTGGCAGCTTCTGGTATCTTCAAAATTAATCACGTGTGATCTATTCCAATTTCCATTATCCCATAAACCAAAGCTTGGGCTAACGAGATGCTTTCCTACTCCCCTGTTTTGTTTATAATCTCAAAGTATTTCTTTACTTCAATTCTTTGAACTTGCGTATTTCAGTCTGTTATTTGGATAAATTAGCATTAGTTTATAAACTAGTATAAAATGTTTTGTTAATTGTTAATTGTTCATATCAACTCTTACAGATAGCAACTTCTCTAGAACTAATTAGAGTGGACAATGGAAACTCAATTTGGAGCAAATGCATAATCCAGAAGTATTACTTTCTTTCTCAAATTTTCACAACCAACCCCTTTTTCTAATTAGCAAAACTCTGTAGGCTACTTCTTAATGCACTGATCTAGACAGTCCAGTAATCTAATATGAAGTGCTTTGAATCGGGCTATTCGAGCTTGCAATTCCAGCTTCCGTCTTCTTAGATTCTTGTTCTCTTCCATTAGTTGCAGATGGTCGCCATTCCTCTGACCAACCGCCATTGTTTCAGCTCCTTCATGAGAAGATCTTAGAAAGGCTGGAAACACACTAGGCTCACATTTCTTACGTACAATCTCCCCCAGCATCTGCTTGTTGCCCCTCTGAAACTTCTCGTGCTTGAATTCCCACCTCTTTTGCGACGTCTTCTTGAACCCCTGTTCCCATTATTACAATAATTAGATTGAAACTCGACTCAAATATATCATAACCTATCCACAATCTCATTTCCTTCTCCATTAATATCCATGGGTACTCATGGCCAAACCTATGTGAGAGGGAGCATAAGGAACACATAAAATAGATAACATATTACCTATTAGATCCAATTTCTATGGCAGAATTTAAGCATTCGAATCAGGAAAGTGGTCAATTGGATCCTCTTTATAATGAATAATTCTTCTTCAAGATGTTTCAGAGAATAAAAAGTGGTGGGGGCATTTTCAAAAAGATAGAGAATGAGAGAATACATACGTAAGTATTAAGCTGGCGAATGAAGCTAGAGAAATTATTGTGCTTGAAGTACTTGGGCAACAAAACCTCAGAGAATTCCGCAGGAGACCAAACTATGAACCCATTTCCCTCTGCATTCCAGGACACAATCCTATTTTCTTCTTCTTCTTCTTCTTCTTCTTCTTCCTCCTGATCTGCTGCCTTAAAATGGAAGCTTCCAGCCTCTTCTAACAGATCATAAGTCTTTGACAGAAAAGGAGCAGGGTTTCTGGTTTTTGAAGACTGCATAATCAAATTCACACCCAAAATCTGTTCAAAGTTGATCAGCTTCTCAACTTATAAGCCCTCCACCACCTGCAGCCATTTGGTAGGAAGCTACCAGGTTACGTTCTATAAAGGGTAGCGGTTTTCTTTATCCTTTATTTCCCTTTTCCAAATTCTGCTTTTTCTTCAAGGCTGTTTGGACCCATTGAAGTCTATTACGTTAACAAAATAGTTGGAAAATGAAAGCCATTCTTCTTCTAGTAATCATTATGAGAAAAACATGATCTAGAATAATATAGAATCAATTGGATTGAAAACACTCCAAATGTGAACTCGACTATTCAAATTGATCGCTTTTATATTTTAACAATTTCCTCCACATGAACATGTTCCTACTTACCACAAAATCATATTTTTATAATAAGTTATATAGAAAATTTTCTTAATTTTCTGCATCTATAAATAAGAGTGCAGTGAGAGAACATATAATATTACATAGTTAGAGAGAATGAAATTAAGGGAAAAGAATCATTCAATTGTCTTCCATGATGAAATGTTGAAAATTGACGAGTAATTTCAAAAGAAGGGCCGCGAACTCTGACCCACTTTTTTTCTTCTCTCTTCTGCCTTTGTATGTCTGCACCCCCATGTGACTATTTTGTAATTACAATTAATGAGAGAAACATCAAGAAGTTGCTGTGGTGTAGTGGTTATCACGTTAGTCTTACACACTAAAGGTCCCCAGTTCGATCCTGGGCAGCAACATTTTTTTTGTTTTTTTTGTTTTTATTTTCCAAAGCCCAACCCTATCTGGGCATACCCAACTATAAGGACAATCCAATGAACCACGTCTTTCAACAGTAGTTTCATTGAACAGCAAGCAGATATGCAATTTCTGCCAAAGAAGAACCAACGGCATGAACAACGTTCATATGCGCCATGGTTAGCATCATCAGTCAGTTCCGCCCAAGTGAAAACCACCATGGGAACTGTAAATTGGTTGGGCAAGCTACTACTCGAGGCTCGCATCTGGAGGTAGAGATCGAATGGCTGGCACGTTATCACCACTGGAAAAAGAGTAGGCAGTATTGGATGATGGAATTCCAAAGAAAGCCATCCTTACATTTACTGTGAAATGAATGATGATGATACAATTGCGTTAAGACTGTGGGGGGTTGGCTATGAGAGGCATGAAAGGCCCAGTTGAGTAGTAGAGCAAAGAAGCGATTATTCTGGTGGGGTAACAACGATGAGGGATTGTAATCGAATAAAAATACAAAAAGAAAACCTTCTAATAAAATTATTCAATATTTGCACTGTCATTGGTAGGGGCCGCGCGAACGCAGGCCCCCACTACCACAAATTATGACGTAGGCTCTGCCACTTTGGACAGACCTTAGGCGGGCACCCCTCCTGAGTGCAATGGAGGTCACCAACCTAGGCTATGGGCCTCGATGATCACCCAAAAGCCCCGTCCAGGTAAGTATGTTTCAATAATGCCCGTTGATTTTCTTTTATAGCTAGTGGTACTTCTCTTCATTTCAGATGTGTCGATGTGGGACAAACTCAAAGTGCTTGATAAAGCCAAATTTGTTTAGTATTTGGTACTAATGTATGATCATTATCTTTTCGTTCGACACTTCTGGGCATCAGGTTGCTGTGGTGTAGTGGTTATCACGTTAGTCTTACACACTAAAGGTCCCCAGTTCGATTCTGGGCAGCAACATTAATCATCTTTTTCCTTTTCTTTTCATTTTTAGGAAATTTTTCTATCCCTAGTGTTCTACGTGGAAAATGCCTTGAGATTGGGATTAAATGAAGCGGGCTGCTAGGCTACATTGGGCTCCATCCACAACTTGGGCCATCACAAAAGCCCAAAAGGTCCCATTAACTGCAATATGGGCCATCACAAAAGCTCAAAAGGCCCCTTTAACTACCATAGTTTACTCAAAATTCAGAGATTTTGAAGATTTTTAACCATTGCTATGGCTGTGGCCTGTGGGACATGATTTTGTACTGAAATAGGTTGTGGCTAGAGGTTTGACATGATAGAAGGCTCTCTCGGGAATCATGCAATCTTATGACTGCGTTTTCTTCGTATAATTCCAAGCAACTAATGGAAATGGAAGCTTTGAATCAAATGAGTCATCTTTTTTGGAAAAATTTCCATGAATGACCTCAACTAATGGAAGATGACTCTTCTGTGTTAACATCGTGCATAAACAAACAGAGTTCCTAGGCACCATCATATTTAATCTTTCCATCACTACTAAAAACTGAGTTCCTTTCCCTTCAATTTTGATGAGTTTAAGATAACAAGAACACAATCTAAGTAATAAACAGTCATTAGTTCAATCTTTAATGCTATATATTTTATATAATGAACATGTACATATATGATTATGTATGTAAAGTACTTATATAACCCAGAAGTAGGGGGGATATTGTATATAAACATATAGTTGTCCATGAGCTTACCTCAAAAAACCTTTACACAGAATACAAAGACAATGATGTACTTTATTAGTATCTTTGTTCTTCTTCCTTTCTTTCTTGTCTTGCAAATGGGGGAGTTTCCAGGAACAGAATCTCATTAGAAGACAAGAACGCACAGAATTACACAGCAGAAGAGGAAAATGGAGATTCTGTTCAATGACTTCTCTGCCTGCATTTCCTGTCTTCTCAACCGGTTCCTACGGCTCCCTGTTAGATGATAAGAGTTTTGGTAAGAGTATAAATTGTCCGAGTTCCCAAAGACCCTTGCATACATGAAATCGCCAATCATTCCTACCACCGGATGGTGAAAACCACTGAGCGATGTTCTACCAAGGTTTAGCGAAGGAGCTGGCAAATCTTCTTCATAATTGCCAAAAAGAAGGGGGTCATGATTTGGTCGCTGGTAAGGATTTCGATATCGAAGCTGCTGCTGGTGTGTGCTGAGGGTAGCAAGTATCTGGTTACCACAGGCTGAAGGTCTAGGAGGTATATCAACGTTGTCTTGATGCATAGCTTTGGCTTCAGGCCTGACTTCCTCGGCCATTTGGCCACGACCATAGAGAGGAACCATTGTGGTGTGGGAAATATCAGCCTTGCAAACTGGGCATTGCGGCTGCTCATCAATGGCAAGAGAGACACTCTTGACATGAAGCCATTTATAGATGCAAGGCCAGCAGTATAAGTGACCGCAGAGAGTAACCACTGGCTCATGGGCAAAGTCTAAGCAGATGTTACAATCAAAGCAACCCTTGTTGGTTTCTCGATCTGTTCCCCCTGTACCAGAGACGTGTTTCCATCCTTGCGCAAAGCACTGTTCATATGCCATGGATCGATCAAGCAACTCCAGTTATTTTCTGGAAAAGTCCACAAAAATACGGTAAATTTCTCCGTCTGAAAAGGTTTTGGGTAACAATAATTATAAAAAGAATTGGAAGCTAAGGTTAGAGCGAGAGGGAAGAAAGCTAAAAACAATAGATTAGTTAGGGACTACCAAAGCAGAAGATTGGTGGGACATTTAAGATACCTAGAACTCAACTGAAAGCAACCAACCATGTGACCGACTTTGATTCCAGAAGTGGTTAGATGCTCAATTAACTCATCCTAAAAGATTTTAAATACTCAAGACCAACCACAAAATGAAACAGACTTGGCAGCAAACTATTACTAGGTTAGAGAGAGGGTGGGTAATAACACTAAAATAACAACCAAACCATTGAGTTGGGTAAAATCTTAAAAACTCAAAGCTAGACACGAATCATTCAGTCAAATGGTGTGAGATCCCATCGGTTGGAGAGGGGAACGAAGCATTCCTGCATTCCTTATAAGGGTGTGGAAAACTCTCCCTAACAAATGCGTTTTAAAACCTTGAGGGGAATCCCAGAAGGGAAAACCCAAAGAGGACAATATCTGCTAGCGGTGGGTTTGAGCTATTACAAATGGTATCAGAGTCAGGCACCGGACGGTGTGCCAGCGAGGACGCTGGGCCACGAAGGGGGTGGATTGTGAGATCTCACATTGGTTGGAGAGGGGAATGAGGCATTCCTTGTAAAGGTGTGGAAACTTCACCCTAACAGACGCATTTTAGAACCTTGAGGGGAAGCCCAAAGAGGACAATATCTGCTAGCGGTGGGTTTGAGTTGTTACAAATGGTGAATTCAAATTGAAGGAGCTCTGAAACTTTGTAGAACTTCATCAGCTGGTAAAATAATGGTCAGGAACAGCTATTTTAATGCATTAGCAATTAAAGCAGTCAGTAACCTCTTAGACCTAACCATGGGCATAATACAAGTAGAGCCAGGGATACCCAGTGATTAAAAAGAAATGACTATTATTTACTCATATGCCAAACGAATAAACACAGAAGAGAGGACCTAGTAATTAAGTCATATATAACTCCAAAAGGAAGAATGTAATCCTGGCACATGGTCTTCCTCAATGTGCTCTTAGTAGCCCGTTACCCTTTCGTTCAATTGTACTTCCTTCCAGAATTGAGTTTGTTTGAAGTAAAACGCATATTATGGGAAAAAGTAGCAGACAATTGCAAGGAATCTTCATGAAAACCCCCATCTCACTCTTCCTATTTAGGAATGGCAATCAATCAAGATATCCGCCACTGCCACTACACTGTCTCCAAACCTGAAACCAACTTTCTATTACTTGAAAACCAGCATTTAGATCATGATTTGTGGCAAATACAAACTTCTATAGCTTGAAAGTTGTGACTAGCATATGTTCTAGATATAAAAACTTTTCAAGATTGTGATCCAATTCATCATCACAAGAGAGCAAAACCTATTTTCTTTGACGCATGTAGTCCCCTAGCCAGCCCATGAATATAATAAACATAATATGGAGAACAATATGACCTGTCCACTAAAGTTCATGATATGCAAGCAGACACATTATCATTTATCAGATATGAACTCCAGAAACAAGATCATTATTCCTCAGAATCACCAGTCGAATGCAGACACCACTTCTCCCTTTCTCCCCCCTGATCAATGCTTAAGACTCCATCCAGAAGTGAAAATAAACAGAATTGCAAATGATCACTCTATAATACCAAACCTATTCTAGCGTCCCTGAAATAGCCCAAACGGACCGGAATTTGCTGAGCTCGAGACAGATAAAGTCCTAAATGCCGCATATAATAAAGATGGAGATAGGAAACAGGAGGAGGCCTCCCACAGACTGCCAGTTCAAAATGTATTCACACGAAAAAGACACAGAATTTAGAGGGCAATTCTCTTACGTCCTAGTTGGTAGTCTAATGCTAGACATATAAGAACACATCTTGTTCGATAACCAAATCAAACCATCAAAGCCCGAAGTAACTCCACTGTGTTAGTGTGTGTTGTTCGGACTATTTTCCGCCGGCCAAAGACAGATGAAAGTGATTGATTGCCTGATACAGCTCCTAATGATCAAAATTCATCAACTAGAGCCGCGTGGATCCAACCCTACTCTTCCCAGGCATAAAATGGGAAAACTCTAATAGTAGAGATATGAAACAACCTCGAGGCCCAAAGAATTTCTGATAAAACCACTACGAGGCACTGCCCAGACGAATTAAGCCTTCACTTCAATTCAAAGTGTGTTCTGATATAAAAGAATTATCATACAAACAGCCAAATACCACATTCCCGATTGTCAAAATTAAAACAAAACACATAAGAAGTTGAAGCCTCCATGGTTTATCCAGGAAAAAAAAAACAAAAAAAGAAGAGAGAAATAGAGCCACAGAAAACACATCCAGAATGAAAGATCCAGAAAATCCAACAGCGCCAGAGCTTGTATGAAACAACGCAATCAAAGACAAGGAAACTAATAAACATATCAAAACTTCCACCTCCACGAGGTGAGGACAAAATCACGGCGAAACGAAGCATGGAAACACAAGTTGAGAAGAGCAGAAAATCGAAAAACAAATCACGAAAGTTCAAATTCAGTGGTTCACCTGTGAGAGAGAATCAGCAGTTCTTTTGCTATAATAGCTTCCCACAAAAAGAGGCAATGTTAATGCAAAAATGAAAAGGATGAACGGGAAATAGAGAAAACAGCCGGTTGATAGTGATCTAGCGCCAAAGTGAATGGGGCTTTATGGACGAACCTCCGTTTTCTTTAACCATTCTGATGGGCCCCACATTAGCTGACGTGGAATAATCTCGCATCATATCCTCTCTCTTATCCTGGTTTTCTCTTCTACATTTAAAAAAAAAAAATTAATGTCAGGATTTAACTCGGTTTTCTTTCTTAGTTGATATCAATATTAATTATCACTTAATTATACTCACTTTAATTTATTTAATTGATTAATGCTTCATGCCATTATATTTTCCTTTGGGAACCACAAAAGCATTGTTGCGGTGGTTTGAATTTTCTACTTTTTCTTATAATTTATTTGGTTAATAATATATTAATGTTTTAATGTACGAATATAATTTTATTGGTCTAACACATCATGTACTTTCTAATTTCCAATTTCAAAATATATTTATTTTTATGAATCCCTATATATTAATTATAATTATAATTTTACTATACATTTCAAATGGCCACCATAACTTCTATTTTAGTTTTTTTTTTTTTAATGTTTTTATCTATTTTAACTTTTACACTAGAAATATTTGACCTAGTATTCCTTTTTGTCTATTTTATTTATCTATATATTTTCTAAACATTTATTTTAGTCTCTAAATAATTATTTTTACTCTGTTTAACTTTTCTACAACAATTTTATTATTCTATATAATCAATAAGAATTTAAAAACATTATCAATAAACTTTGGTTGGGGTAAGGTATTTTTGTGATAGTGGCATGAACACAGCTACTGCGTATCTGTCGTGTAGTGCGATTATTTTTTAATTTTATCTTACACGATTAAAATATTTTTCCTTGCTTTATTTATTTATTTTTCTTCTCAACTTTACTTGGAGTGTATTTTTCCAGTGTTTCTAGAAGCAAACTGTTCAAGTAGAGGAGTATTTTAATGAAAAAAAATATAGCTATTTTCTTCTTCTTTTTTTTTTTAATTTCTTTATATTATTTGAAGAAAAAAAAACTCTGAAAAACACTTAAAATATACTCAAACTAGTTAATCTTTAACCATGGGTAAGATAAATTGATGGTTGAGTTGACTTAAATAGGGAGCTCAAAGGTAATGGCAAATATGACCATTACAATGCACACCAATGAATTATTTGTAGGATGATAGCATTTATTAAAAGAGTACAGTAGACTGAGGATTATAATTTTAGTTAAAAAAAAATGCTATGTTTGAATGGGACTAATACAGGTAAAAGCCACATATTAAAACAGTCAAAATAGAACAAGATCGATAAAGAAAATTCAAAAAAAAAAAAAAAAGGAATATATTTATAAGAGAAAAAGAAGTCAAAATAGAATGAGATTGATGGAGAAAACTTTGCAAAAGAGGAATATATTTATGAGAGAAAAGTCGTGAAAAATTGGAGTCCTAAGACGATGACAGTAAAAAAATCAAGAAACATCGGAAAGCTAATGGTTGGTCCCTATGTTTGGTTTCCGTAGGTTTTTTTTTAGTCAATTGATTGCGTGAGAGGGAGACAAAAATTCTGCTATGAGATAAAAAATGTCAAGAAGATCGACGAACCTGAGAGAAAGATTCAAAATCTGAGTAAGCAATTGGAGTAAGGGAAACAACTACTCTCGACTGCTTACCATCTGGAGTAGTCCTGGCTTGGAGAAGATCAACGAACCTAAGATAAAGATTCAAAATCTGAGTATGCAATTGGAATAAGGGGAGCAACCGCTCCAGACTGCTTATCATCTGGAGTAGTCCTAACCTGAAGAAGATTGACGAACCTAAGATAAAGATTCAAAATCTGAGCAAGCAACTAGAAGAAGGGAAGCAACTACTTCCGACTGCTTATCTTCTAAAGTAGTCATAGCCTAGACAACATAATAGTTTCACCACCGAGAAGAAAGATGTTGTGTCTAGTGATTGGAATCATCTAATGTCAATTGAACAAGCTGACAATCGACAGAAAATACTGAACAAAACTACTAGCTTGAAGAGGGGCTGATCCGCAACATTAACTGCAGAAAAATGAGGTGAGAGTTGATGAACAAGAGAAGACCGCAATACATCTCCATTACCATTTTCTTCTGAGACTGATTAATTAAATTAAAGAAAATATGAGGATGAAAGATAATGTAAATATCTGATAATGGGATAAATAACAAAATTTTATTAAACTTCCAAAAATCATTTCTCCAAATATAAGAATTTATTGAAAGTAATACTATCAACTATTGAAAAAGTTAAAAGATAAAACTAAAACCCCACACCCATAAATACATATTTTTAATGGGGAAGTTGTATTCTTATAAAACTACAATCGTCATAATTACATTAAAAAAAAAAAAAACAAATCACACATATACAAATATGTTTGAAATATAGGCTATCCTAATAAATAAATTAAAAAAAGAAAAAAGAATCTTGATATTGTTGCACCCTTCTTATTCAAATGACCTTTGTCCATATGAGAAGGAGGCAATGTCTTTTGTAGTTATTGCAAAAGGAACACCCCATGTGGGTCTAATCTTATCCTCCAATATTTGCATACAGACTTAATATAAAATTCAATAAAACTAATTTACAAGCAAACAATTCTGATGTGTGTGTATATATATAGATATAAAGAAATCATAAATGAACGGGACTTCACCGACAAAATTGTAGTTATTAGACCAAGAGAGCAGCTGATAATCTAGTACATTAATGGTGGATAAGAGAGTAATCCAAAAACTAATTAAAGCATTTTAGATGAGCCTAACAAGTCACAGACGTGAACAGCCCGACAAGAAAGGAAAACTAAAGAATATTGAATTTGAGATGTCTACCTTCAATAGATGAACCAGTCCCACACACTGAAAGGCGTCTACTCCCCGTATTTCGCTGACCCAGTTTCAAACCAGACTTTTTTAGATACCAATTATTGAAGCTTCCAACTTTGATTATTTATATAGACAGTCTACAACTTTTATTTGAAATTGAAGTAGAGCATACCATTTGACATTGCTAGTTGGTGACATATATTCCTATAGCTTCTTTACCCACAGATTGATAAGTGTCACGTGGGGATAAATACACAAAAAAATGAATCAGTCAGAGATAGCGAAACTAGCAAACCTGATTATGGTCAGGAAATGGAATAATTGAAGCACAAACGCCCAAAATCAGTGATGAATGGATGTCACACTGAGTGTAGGTGTCAGAATAAGCCTCGCCTGGATTGATCCTTACTTGTATAAGATCCTGTTTTTTTTTTTTTATTGCGACCCTTTGGACGTAACCGATCCCTTCTCTTGTTAACTTTCTAAATAGCTGATTCAAACAAATAAAAGATGATGAGAAACTCTCAAAATGAGAAAAGTATAATATTTGCAACCAAAAAACAAACTTGTCAAATAATAATAATAACCATTTTAAACAGGTCTCCAAGTCTGACCAGAAAAGTCCAGTCTTTTGTTTCCAAAGTGGTTCCCATCATCTTCTGCTATCCGCCCAAGGGCACATAAGAGTAGCGGATGAATTATATAACTGGTACATGTAATGTCCAGTAAGACAATTTAACAAGTCACAGACAAAATAGTATAAAAATAATTTAGCAAGGCAGTAACGATGATGATGACAATGAACTATTATAGTATTAGATGTTGATAAATTAAATATATACATATATATCAGATTAGTGCCATACCCAAAATAGTATGCCTCCTTAGTCTCACAAAATTCACCTACACCAACATGGGGAAGCATTTCCTCTTGAGGAATCTCTTTGACCCGAGACATTAAGATAACAAACATGTTGAAAAGTGATAAAATAGTTTCGTGCTGAATATAATGGAGCAGACCTAAATTTATTGAGATAATGCATACTTAATCCTCTTTTCCTTGGTCACACCAACTGTTGATCCTCTCTTCCCAATATGGCCTAGTGCAACCTACAGTCAAGAAACATTGTTGGTGTGAGCATGAGAGAGCGAGAAAGAACAGGATGATAGACAAGTATCAAAGAAATGGGTGACCTGCTGATTTGGTATAACAAAAGCCTCTTCCAGAGAAGACTGAAGCAACTCCATCATTTGAGTATCAAAGAATTCATAACATACATGCTCTAGAAGATCTTTATCAGGAACAAATCCTCGAGCACGAAACACAACAATAATCATAATCTCAGTTTGGGTTGCAGGCAGAGTGGCATGTATGTATTGTCCTGAAGACCTGAAAGAACATTGACGAATTGCAAAAAGAATAGGTTAGAATAGCTTTTAGTTCAACGAGGAAGAACTTCTAAATCTTCAGAAAACGAAGATAAGTACATTACCCCCTTGGCACTAGTTCAAGAAAGCATTTGTGTGCAAACATGGTATTAGGTGGTCTATTTTGTGACTCAGCCATAGACCAGACGTCTTCCACAAAGGCGTACTTGTTTGGCTGTCCTTTTTTGGAAACATATTTTATGCACATTTTCTCTTGTGCAATAAGAACCTTCTCACTCTCATTGATGATAAAATATCCTCCCTGGTCATATGGACACTCCCTAAGCTCGGCAAGATCCTTCTCAGAATTATGATACAGAATAAAAAGACAACAATCTAATTGCTTGTTACAAATAATTTCCATATGCCAGAATAAATGCAATACCAATACATATCTGTTTTCAAAAGGAAGTTAGAACATAATTAGCATAAGCACACTTTTCCAAACAACCAAAGAGATCTTATCTGATGCTACAATTTTCAAATGAGTAGAAAACACCTGGTTGGTACCTGCTTTAGGGATCAATCATTGAATAAAAAAGGGCCTTGACAACCTGAGCACCGATCAAGTTAACAACCAGATCGCCTTGCTATTTAAAAATACCGAGGAGCTCCAGTGACAGGATCAGTCATCAATTAGAAAACGCAATGACCTTTCCATGATTTGTGGTGGATTAGCTCGTAAATCCAATGAAGTCTCAGTAACAGCTAGAATACTGAAGCTGATGATTATGAATTGAAATTATCACCAATAATCAAGACAAGAACATGCACCATCTTTGAAGTGGTGAAAACGAAATTTATCCCTAACAATAATTTCTCTATCAGCAATAACAGAGATGTGTTTAATAGCTGAATGACAATCCTCACATATTCGAAGGTTCTTTACAATCCTAATAGTCTCACCTTGATTGGTTTTAAGTAAACCAAACGCTAGGGCAAGCTTTTCACTATGATATCTAAGGGCATAATCCCTTTCTTCTTCTTCCAAATCATGCATCAAGGACTCCAATGCTGGTATATAGCCTGATTCACTACAACGGCCCATTAATTCATCTAAATACCTATAGATAGCATTTGTTTCAGGATGAGACTTGTCACCCATGCTAAACATATAGGTTTTCTGATTGATCTCTATGGTGCTATAACCTACTTGCTTCTTTAGGCGTCGTCTAACCATCATGTTTCGCACCATCTCTACTCGATCCATTCTACCGGCCAATGCATATATGTTAGAAAGCATTACATAATGACCAGGGTTTTCTGGTTCAACTGCTAAAACATGTTCTGCAACCTTAACTCCAAGGTCAAAATTTTTATGCATTCTGCAAGCCCCAAGCATTGAAGTCCAAACTGCAGGACCTGGCTCTTCAGGAAGAAATTTTCTAATGAATTGATAAGCATCCTTGAGCAATCCAGCACGTCCAAACATATCTACCATGCAGACATGATGTTCTACTCCTGGAACTAACCCATATACTTCCTTCATGCTTGAAAATGCCCGACGACCATCATCAATCAACCCTGAATGAGCACATGCAGACAAGACAGCAACGAATGTGATATTGTTAGGGCGAGGACCATAAGCTCTCATTTCATTGAAAAGCTTCATTGCTTGCTCGCCATAACCATGCATCCCATACCCTGAAATCATGGCTGTCCAAGTAACAACATTCCTTACCTTCATGGAGTCAAAAACTTCCCGCGCTTTGCTTACATTCCCACATCTAGTGTACATGTTAATCAATGAAGTACCAAGAACCACGTTCAGATCGAAACTATTACTATTGGCATAATCATGCAACCAGCATCCGAAATCAAGAGCTCCCAGCTGAGAACAGGAAGACAATAAGCTTACTACCGTAGCTGAATCAGGTTGAAAGCCCGACCCTATCATCAGATTAAATAAATCAATTGATTTCCCTGGTAATCCGTTCTGCTCGTACCCTGATATAAGTGAATTCCAAGCTATAGTTGTTCTTTGGGGCATTTCATCGAACACCTTCTGGGCCACTTTCATATCACCAGCTTTGGCATAGAGAGCAATAAGTGCAGCCTGAACGTACATATCAGATCCATAACCAGAAACCACAACGTGAGAATGAATTTCTCTACCCAACCTGAGAGCTGAAAGATCTGCACAGGCTTTGATAACAGACGTAAATGTATAATTCGACTGGGAAACACCCAAGAAGAGCATATGACGGTAAAACAGGACGGCATCAACAGAAAAACCATACTTGGAAGTCGCTTTGAGAAGGGAATTGAACAGAAATGAATCAGGGTTTGGGACAGTGGGCAACAACTGACGAGCATACGTGATTGAACCAGCGGCACAAATCAGTGAAAGAAGCTTGGTGAGAAGTGATCGACTTCTATGGAATCCGGAAACAATGATATGGGCGTGAACTTGTTGAAGGTTTCTCAGACGAGGACCTGCTTGAAGAAGCGCTGCATAGATTGGACTGTGGGGTCGGGAGTCAAAAATGTGAGTTACAGGATGTTGAAGCGCGAGTTGTTGGGATTCCACTGTAATTAGAGACTTTGTTTTGTTCATAGTTGGATTGATCAAAGTTGTGCATCTAATGGTTTTGAAGTAGAGGAGGGAAGATTCTTGAAAGTACTAAATGCTGGAACAGAAATTTATGTTTACGTCCAAAACAAAAGGAGATCATTGACACTTACAGTTGCACTTCCTTCAGCCTCCAACTACTCCCTCAGAAGCTCCCGCCCTGTAACTCCGCCGACTCCTGTAACTCGAGTGTAAGGTTTTGCTGCTTCATTTTATAGCCTTCGTGGAATATGGGAGGGAATGAGTAACATTTATGTCCAAATGGGGTCGCGAACCGTCCAGCTTGGAAAAATAAATTACATAATTTTAAATATATTACTGAATTTTGAAATATTTAAACTAAAACTTAAGTATATCTTTAAAAAAATAAATTAATTTAATTTTTCAGAATTTTTAAACTAAAACTTAAATATGAATCGGTTGGTAAAACATTACATACGTCTTATCTTTCTTTTAATAAAATTTTAATAAAAATTATATTGAAAAATGAACTAAAAAATTATTCACAAAAACTCGATCCCCGCAAATTTTTCACAAAAAATCTCCGCCTAATCCCCTAAAAGGAGAATTTCGTAGGATCACGAGATGGAAATTGATTGAGATTAGTCATCAGTGAGATACCACTCTATAAGAGCTATAATTCTAACCTTGTGTCGGGACTTATGAGCCAAGGGACGGTCTCAAGTATTCTAACCTTGTGTCAGGACTTATGAGCCAATCAGGTATTCTAACCTTGTTTCAGGACTTATGAGCCAAGAGACGGTCTCAGGTAGACAATTTCTGTGGGGCGTAGGCCTCTCAAAAGGTAACGGAGACGTGCAAAGGTTTTCTCCGTGAATGATGAAAAAATGAAATAAGTGTGGGAATGAAGTCAGTCCTCGAACATTAATATTCATCAAGTTTAAAATATATAATTAAGTTCTAATTTTTGTTAAGACCATGATTATTATATTGCAATTTAATATTCATTTACTCAATTCTCAAATGCCTCTCATATCTAAACATGCACATGAGTTCATGCTATTTATTTGGATATAAGGACCAAAAATAGGTATTTTTCAAAATTCATCATTAAAATAGACAAAAGAACTCTAAAGATTTAACCCTTACTTCTCTTAAGGTGCTGAATCAAAAGAAAACTCTAAAGACAATGCTTGTGATTATCTGGACAGCCTCTCCTTTCCAAAGTAAAGATTGTCAATTAGTGAGCGTTAAAGGCTGAACAGCGCAAGGTGAGTATATAAGAAGGAAAGAATCAACGCATACTGAACAGAACAACCCTCTTTAGAGCGCAGCCTAGTATCTAAGAAAGGGATTTGGGCATCCTTCAAACTTAAGAACACCAGATTTATACACAACTTCAGCACTAAACTCTAAAGAATTTCGTATTCTCATGATAAAAAGCTTAAGAAGATTCAGTTGGCAGCTCTAATAATGCCTGCCCTCTTCACTAAATTCCTTCAATCAATCACAGCTCTTTTCTTTCACTGTTGTGCAGAACTCAGTAACAAAGCATCAATATGAAATATATTTCATTTGTGGCTTATTAAGCACATAACATTTACAGAAGGACTGGTTTTTGTAAGCTGAGTAATATTCATCAATCAACAAGGGAAGGAGAAGGAAAAAAAAACACGCATACACACAAAGGAAAGTGGAATAACACACACGCAAGCACAAAGGAAAGTGGGATGGATTTTTCCCATTACTGCCATGTTCATCTGAAGATTTAAATCACTTTTTTTACCCCAATATTGAACAGATATCCAGACCCAGAAAATCTCAATGCAATTTGCAGCTTGGAAACAAAAGAAAAGACTCAACAATTTACTCAGGAAACTAATCATATTTTTCTCTCCAGGAATAAACAAGAAAGAAAACCCAAGATAGGGCAAGAAGAATGTCACCAACAATTTGCCTCAGCCAATCCCAGGCAAGGTCCTCCACTCTTCGCTCGAAATAGAACCTCCACATCGCCATTGAGACGTGAAGCACCGTACATCCCTTAGCGAAGAACCCTTGAAATTCTCTGTCCTTCACGAACGAAACCATGAACAGAAGAAACCCGATTGCGAAGAGGAGCAACCCGGAAAACGAATCGGAGGTCTGAAGCAGGAGCTGATCGTGTGGCGTAGAGCCCATTAACTTAGTGGCGATGTCGATCCCATGCCCAATCGTGTAAATTTCCTTCATATAGAACATCATCAGCGTCCCGCTCGTGATTGCGACCACAGAGTGAAGAAGGCAGATCACGGGGAAAGTCGACGACGACGACGATCCCATTTTGATCGGACGGTGGAGGCGTCGTAATTACCTATGGATTTGAAACTGCGAACATGGCTGCTCCCGTAATTGAAGGAACCCTAATTGCACAGCTGAAATTCAAGTTTGGGAGGAAGACGATGAGCCGAACAAAACCGCGATCGGGCTCTTTAATTTTCTTTTTCTTCTTTTAAATTATTCGTGTCCTTTATATAATTTTCTTTTTTTGGAATAACCCGAAGAGAGAGAGAGTGTCCACTCTGGAGATAAGTATCTCAGCCCCTGGGCCCAGCTGGACCAAATTTTTGCATATTCCACACTGTTTCCTTCATTAATACGTGGCAACGGCTTACAATGCCGACAGATTCTTTAGGGCTCCACTTGTAATTATAATAAAATTATATATTTTAATCTTAATTTCAGATCAAGATTCATATCCAATGGGCTCTAATGGGCCCTCTCATTTTCTTCCTCATCGAGGAAGATGGGCTTAGCCCAACCTTGTTGCTACTTTTCTTTTTATTTTTTAAAAAATGTCAATTATTATGTTACCATTACATGAACCTTTTTTATTTTAAACTATGATATAAGATGAATTTTTCATTCTCAACAATGATGACTTGACACCATTATGTAAGTCAATTAAAATTTTATTTTTTAAAAAACAACCACTAAAGAAAAAAAGAAAAGAAAAGAAATGCCAGTTGAACATTAATTAAATAATAAAAAAAGGCCAACCAAGTATTTTTTTTTATTTTAAAATCATTTAAATATTAATATGAGAAAAATAACTTCAGCGCTTAGCTTATTCCAAAAGGCGGCATAATTCATGTAAAGTTATTTCGTATGACAGTGAATCTGGCCAGTTTGTCATAGCTAGAATCGAATCGAACCAGGGCTCGACAACATGAATATTATGCTAGATACACATATTCATTGTAAGCCTTGTGCCAAAAAAATGGGAAGCCAACAACTTCTTGTTTAATTACAAAAGCAAAGACTTGGCCAAATACTAAGCAGATGACAACAGCGAGGGAGTTCTTTCCTCGGGATTGAGTGAGCGATCTCATAGCCTGCACTTACAAAGACGGATCGAAGGGTTATGAGAATTTGGGTTTGGGGCGGGGTGAGGGTTCAAGATGTAGGGGGCCAAGCTTTTGAATCCAATGGAGTGGCCCTCCTTTCTTATGGTCTAGATGAAAACTAGAGAGAGGATTTCCTACTAAATTCAGTGTCCCATCATGGGCAAGCGAGTACTCGAATTTCTCTAATACCTTCACAACCTGCCAGAAATCGGGTCTCTTCCCTGGATTTACAGACCAACATTGCTCGATCAGTGCTCGCATAGCCAACGGACAATCACTTGAGATAACAGGCCTAAGATTCTGAAAAACCAACATTGATTCGTTAAGAACCATATGGCTCGCATGATAAACCCGACAAAGAAGATAATCTAGGAACAAACACGTGATTTATAAAAAGCTGACCTTGTTCACAACAGCAAAGGCTGCTTGAATGGGAGTCATATCCTGGTAAGGAATTGCACCAGCCACCATTTCCCACAACATAAGCCCGAAGCTGTACACATCGACCTTTCGACCATAGGGTTTATGTTTAATCATCTCCGGTGCCATCCATCGATAAGTACCAGGATCGTCAGCCAATGGGTCGAGAAAGGCATCAGGACAAGCTATACCAAAATCTGCAATTTTCAGGTGGAAGTCCTCGTCAATAAGAACATTTTCGGGTTTAAGATCCCGATGAATCACGCCTTGTGAGTGAATATATTCCATGCCACGAGCCACATCTAAAGCCATTGCAATTAGTTTTCGCATAGGAAGAGATTGGTGCTCCAGTTTGTGCAAGTATGCTCTTAATGATCCTTGAGACAAATATTCGGTAATGACACAGTGAACTGGTGGCTTCCTACAGGCAGCTACAAACTGCAACAGAAAGTAAACAAACATCAACGAAACTAAGAGATTGAACATATTGACGACAATCTAACACTCGATTCACCTTTAAAACGTTCGGATGATTGAGACGAGATAAAAGGGAAACTTCTCGGGTGAATTGCTTCTCCAATCTCGAAGCAAGAACTCCATTTTCGTCGTCCTCGGGCTGTCGAATAATTTTAACAGCAACAGGTTTGTCCTTGTATTTTCCATGATAAAGACGACTGTGAGCTCCATGGGCAAACCTTAACCCGAGAAACAACTCGGAGAGATCAACACTCCAGTCATCGACCGTTTCAACTGCGGTGACTCTTCCACCACCGGACTCGAAATATTTGGTCCAGGATGAGTCCTTCCGGGGCTTTGACTTATCACCTCGTTTTGCCGTAGCTAGGTGTTTCAGTGGACTGGTATTCAAAGATGGCTTGAAATTGGCAGATTTAGAAACTTGAGGGTCCATGTTCTTGAATTCCTTCGTTTGTTCTCTAAGTCGAGGAGTTGGAGTTGAGAATCTCTTACTCTCGGATTTTGCTTCCCTGAAAACGTCAGAGAGGTTGCTGGTGGGAAGAGGAGACAGATACCTCTTCTTGTTGGATATGAAACTTGGTTGAATCTTCGAAATATCAGGATTTGGTTTCTGGGGTGATGAAGTTGATTGAGGCCTCGATTTCAAGCCAGAATTGCGAGGTGGTTCGATGGTGAAAGGAACAGGGGTCAATCTTAACGAGTCCCATCGATGATAAACTGTGTGAGAGAATTTGGTTCTCCTAAGCCAAGAATTAGCCTCCTTCTCCATTTTTTCTTCTAATCTTCCTGCAAATAGTTCATGAAACTTAACAGATCTTCAAACCACACACGTTCTTCATTTCTCCCCCCTCCTGCTCAGGAGGAGGACTAAAAACAAGTTGGGTTCTCGGGAACAAATGGGTATGATGATGACCATGAATTTGATGCCCCAAAAAGCTTGATTTCTTCAACCCATCAAACAATTCTAACGAACAAACATTCGATGTTTCATGAAATTAAAGAATCATTGAGACCAACAAAATGATGGAGATTTTGGAGTGCTGCTCAAATCCTGTTTCTCCCACCAGCAAAACAATCGGTTAAAGCAAAACCCAACAAGCAGATACAGAAATATGAATGCCTCTCAAGCCACAACGCAACACAAATCTTCCCGTTCAACACCAAATTCCTTTCCTCCTGTAGACATCATTTTTAACTTTGGTTCCAAAGTCAAACCCCACCTTGAGTATAAGCCTGGCAAATCCCACACAGAGATCCCCAATAAATAAATCCAAATAATAATAATAATAATAATAATAAAAGAGAACCCGAATTCCAAAAGACAAATAATTTACCCCCTCCCATTTAACTATTCAAACAAGTGAATTAACCAGAACCCAGACAAAACAGCGAAAAAAAGAACCCCAACAAGTTTCCCAAAAAGAAGCAGAAAAATAAAAAAGAAAAAACCTAGGAAGAGTCAAAACCTGACCTCAAACATGTCGGCCTCTTTCAATTCACACGGCATTCCCTGTAGAAATCCATAGGATGATGAAGGAGACAAACAAAAACATGAAAACCCATCTGTCGGGACAAAATTAGATTACATTTCAGAAATGGAGGATCGTAAATTAGGTTGGTGCTGTGGCGGTAGAAGAACATGGATTGAGCGACTGTAAATAAGATTCCATGGACGAGAGAAGAGGGATATAGTTTAGGCAAGGCGTTACGAGTAAGGGAGATGTGACGATGACGATGACGGCGACGGCGACGGCGACGGTGAGTGATGGCTAGTGGGAACCACACAACGAAATCCGTAAACACGAGAAAGAGAGGAGATTGGAATTTTGAGGAATTGTTGAGGTCATTATCGGGAATGTCTTTTTTTTGGAGGGTACGGACGATGCTTTTGCGTTTGGTACGGTTCGCACGGGAACTGTGTACCCTTTTACATTCACCACTTGTGTTTGTCTTTGTTGGCCCAATAATGGCCCATGGTTTTAATTGGGCCGATAAGTTGGGCTTTCAGAGAAACGAGGCTGGAAGGCCCAATACGAGGGGAAAGGGCAAATAATGATAAATTTGTTATTAATATATAATAAAAATAAGATAAAAATAAGAGCGGTGATCTTCAACGTTATATTTATTTCCACAAGCCGCTATATATTTTTGCTCCTATAATCTGAAATTGTCGTCCTTCGGATTCTAAATTCCAACCCATGGATTTCGCTCTCTCTAAATCGTTCTTTTTTCTCCTCTCCTTCGCCATTTTCGCCGTCTCCACCGCCGAAGACGTCACGGCGGCGGAAACACTCGCAACGTCCCCTCACCACTACGCCGCCGTGCCACCGGCGCAACCACCTGCTCACCACCACTACCATCATCACCACGCTCCAAAACCGGCACCAGTTTCTCCTCCAACCCACTTACCTGTTCACCCTCCGGCTCAACCGCCTAGCCACAACCACCACCACCACCATGTCCACAGCCAGCCTCCGGTTCACCCGCCGGTGCATAATGCACCTTCTCACCACCTTCCTCCAACCCACTTGCCTGTTCACCCTCCGGTGCACCCACCGGTAAATAATGCACCATCTCACCACCTCCCTCCGACCAAAGCGCTGGCTCCCGGCCACGAACACCACCGTGACGTCCGCCCATTGCTGCCTCCAGCTCACTCCCCGTCTCCAATGTACCCTCCGAAGCCTCGGTTGCTGAGGAGCTTCATTTCCGTTCAAGGGGTTGTTTATTGCAAGTCCTGTAAATATGCCGGAGTTGACACTCTTAACGGCGCTACTCCCGTCGCTGGTTAGTTCTGAACCTCCTAAATTGTTCCTTTGATACCCTTTACGGAATATTCCTCTGCTTACTAACTTTAATTTCCCCAAACTAAGCTGAATCTTAGATCAGTACAAACACTACGGACCATGAAAAGTTCAAAATCTTTTCATTTACACCAAATTTCCAGCTTAACATTTTAAAACCAAAATTAATGGAACAATTCGAAATAAATGCAAGAAGAGGACATAACAGAATTGTTTTAGTTTTTCAAAAAAAAATGAAATGTTTAGCCATAAAAAGAAAAAGGTCAGAAAAAAGGCTGCAATTATTGAGTATCACATGATATGACAGAGGGCTGTAAATGTAAAATCATTACTAATGGCAGGTGCGAGCGTGAAGCTAATTTGCCAGAACACCAAGCACCCGCTGGTCCAAACCGCCACCACCGACAACAACGGCTATTTCTTCATCAATGCACCAAAGGCCATCACCAGCTACGCCTTCCACAAATGCAAGGTCCTTCTCGGCTCCTCCCCAGTCGCCGCCTGCAGCAAACCCTCCGCCCTCCACGGTGGCGCTGCTGGAGCCGCCCTCAAGCCTCAGAAGTCCTACATCGATGCCAACAAGCTCCCCTTCGTCCTTTACTCCGTCGGCCCTTTTGCCTTCGAACCCACTTGCCCTCATCATTAATGTTTCTGTACGACAGAGACACGGCTTTCTTCATCACTGTTCTGTGTTCTGTTTTTATGTCTTCAAACGATGTCGTTGCCTGTGCTTGTTGCTGTTGTTGTTCAGTTCTAATATTTAAATTAAATGCTTTGTTTTTCTCTTTTCCAATTATCTTAGAATATAATACAATAAATTTAAAAAATGAGGAAGGGTAAAAAAGAGAATGCGGCGGAGTGGCCAACCAGTCAAGGAAAAGGCATTTTTTTTTTCCTTTTTCTTTTTCTTTTTATGTTTTTTTTAATTTAAATAATAATTGGGTCTCTGCTTTGTGAGACCGTATCCCTTCCTCCAATAATGTGCTGACCACTTTATTAAGCCACACGCGCCTCCTTCTTGTCTGCAACCACGCTCATGAATCTTAATCTATTATTATTTTTATTATTTTATAAACGATAATTCATCCTCATTTATTCTTACTAGAGTGGGCCGCTCTATATGGGCCCATTTAACCAACCTCTCCTATGGCCCATTAAGACTATGGGCTCCACCCTTGCATTCCGGCCCATATTATCTATTCTACACGGTGGAGCCTCATCATAAAAATTGTGACCCTAGATACAAATAGATAACGTAATGAAAATTGGCCGAAGAGGGAGAGGATAATATGTCTTTCTTTTCTTTTCTTTTTAATTTCCTTTTTCTTATCTAATATAATTATCGGCTTTTGATGGAAAAAAGAAAAAACATAAAAGAAACCATTTGTCAAGGTTACATTATAGCTTGTTGACTTAATTTATTGGGAGATGATAGTGACAGATTATAAATTTAAAATCTTTGTGCAATAATTAATAAATTGTGAGAGATATTGATTTATTTAATATTTATATTTTGAAAGCTTCAACGATGTTTTTTTTTTTTTTAAATAAAAAAAATTTTCAACCAATAATTTTAACTTTGGAGCATTATGAAGTATTATAATGAAAAAAAAAAAAAAAGGAAAATGAGTGTAAATCCACAACCGTCAACTACTTAAATTAATTGTGAGGGACGTTAAAAATATAATAATGGCTGTTTTGATATATAAATAATGGAATAGGAATAGGGAACACAAATTTGTAACCTTAAATGCTCCAAATTATGAGACGGCAAAAGGAGGGACTTCGTAACATCCATTTTTTGAATTATTTGAAATTATTATTAGTAATTGAATTAAAATAATATTGATATTTGAAATAAATAAATAAAAAAGCAAATTAGTAAATTCGATTTTTTTTTTTTTTTTAATATTAAATGCTGGTGCAAAAAGTCAACGGGAAAAATTGAATTTGAGTTTGACGATGTCTTCACTCTCCCATCTGTGAGTGGACCTCACAGTCTTCTCTTTCGTTATCTAAAATTCCAAATACCACATCTTGCGTCATACCCAACGTGGCCCCTATCCTTCCATGCAATCCTACCCTCTCTCTCAACGCGTGGTCTTCACTTTCGTTTTGATCTATCTTATTTTGGGTTATATGGTAAGAAAGTGAGAAAGAAACGGGAGGAGCGCGCGTGAGATTGTGTAGAAAAACTCTAAAATCCCTCTTACCAAACCAAACACAAAACTAACAAATTCCCACTTGAAATGAATTGAATCTCACCGTTCCTGAGCTCTTCTCCAAACCCATCCATGAAAATCTCTCCAAGGCCTCATCAAAAGTCCACCACCACCACCACCGCCGCCGCCGCCGCCAATGGGCTTCAACCACCACCGCCGCCGTCTCCAACGACCAGAATCACCAACAGATCCGAATCTGCAAACCCGTACCCGGCCACTTTCGTCCAAGCCGATACCTCCTCTTTCAAAGAAGTAGTTCAAATGCTGACCGGATCGCCCGAAACCGCGAAGCAAATATCCACACCCAAAACCCATATCCCTCCGATTAAATCCATCCCCAAACGCCAACACTCCACGTTCAAGCTGTACGAGCGTAGAAATCTGCTCAATAACTTCCAAATCAGTCCCGTTTTTGCCTCTCTTACTGCCGGATTCTCCCCCAGAAATTACCCCGAAATTCTCTCCCCCACCATGCTGGATTTCCCATCCCTCCTCCTCAGCCCCGTCACGCCCCTCATTCCCGACCCCTTCCGCCGATCGCAGCCGTTGAATTGTGAACCGTCCAACAACATCACTATTAATCCGCCGGTGGATGAACAAGCCGAAGCTAAAGCCATTAGAGAAAAGGGATTTTACTTGCACCCATCGCCGGCCACCACCCCCAGGGAATCGGAGCCGCAGCTCTTGCCTCTGTTTCCAGTCACTTCCCCTGCAGATCAACCAGCTCCACCTCGCTCTTCTGCATCTTGAATTCAATGGGAATTTAACCTTTCAATTTAATGTTCTTCATTTTTATTTCTTTTTCCAATTTTTCTTCAATGTCTTGGAATTTTGAATCAGTAATACTGAGCATAGGAGAAAACAAAAATCTGTAATACCGTTTATTTGCAGAGAATTCAATGAAAAATCCCTTTGCTCCAATTTTTCTGCATCTTTTAGTTCAACAAATATTTTTAGAATTAATTTTTAAAAAAAAAACCCTTTAATTTGTTAAACTATAAGGAAATGGCGAGGAACACAATGCAAACAGCTGCAATGGGTCATTTTCAGAAACATTATTTTATGTTTGAAGTCTAAATAAAATTGGTTTGAAAAAAAAAAAAAAAAAAGACATAAAAAGCTAGCAATTACCTAAATTTGGATTTGATTTAGAATGTTGTTGGTCAAAATAAGGTTGGTGGATCTGTGAGGGAGTGTTATGATAAATTAAGTCTGTTAAGGTACAATAACAAAAATGGGTTTATATTTATTTAGTTATTTATTTCATTTTATAAATTTGGAAAGTGAGACTCTCCCAGAGCTAAAATTGGTCCACTCTCAGCTGCGTTTCCTTATATGAAGGTCAAGCTAGCCTTCAGTTATTCTCTTCTCTACCGGATTTGCTCCAAGTATGTGCTCGTAACACGATTGGTGCTAACTACGCTACAAATGCTTTCAAGTTCCGATGTGTTGAAAGGGCGATGACTAGAATATAATCAAGTTCCGATATTTGAAAGCACAAACAAAACGCAAATTTATGTGGGGGTGAATTTGTGCACGAACAATATGTATGGCAGATTTTTCAATTGTTTCATCATTTTGGGTCAATTTCATTTTCTAAGGTATGGGAGTTCATCTTGAAAGCATCCATGGATGACATGACATGATTCACCCTTAGAACTGTAGACTTATGATAATGAAAAATGTGAAGTGGGGACTCCAAAATGTGTGGAGACAGGAGAGTAACGTACACTTCAAAAAAGTTGAATGCCATAGCCAAAGAGGATGAGTAGCCAAAGTTTGGATTTAGACAGGAAGATTGAAACAAGTTGGTTGAATACCCGTCCATCATCTTCAACAGGCAAGCTCTGGGGCATCGCCTTGAAATAGAGTGAACAGACAGTGACCCAGTAATCTTCTCAATCAAGCTTCACACGAGAATTTTTAGAAAAAGGCTAAAAAGGCTTCAGAGTCAGACACAAAACAAAAGGAAGGTAAACAGGAGTTGATAGGTGCAACATGAAGTTGGAGGCACAAGATCTGCCTCTTGGCTTATGTTGAGACATGTATACCTTCGATTAAAAAGGTAGACAGAGTAATCTCTTGTCATGTGTACTTCCTACCACGCTATGAACTGTGTTAGAACAGTGTTCTTCAACATTCTAAATTTGTTATAAAAGCCTTCTTCGCAGTGAAAGCAACGAACAAATATAATTCAAGGCTATATAAACTAATGTGCAAATTTAGGGGGGGAACCTCATTGCCCTTTCTACAACATATTGGGTTACAAGAATAGATTTACTAATATATGTCAAAGAACTCACACTTTCCCTCCTCTTCACTTCCACAACTCTTCCATGGGGATACCTCGCTCCTGTGCAACCTCCCGAAACTGTTTCATCTTCTGAACGGCGACCACTGTTGCTCTGGCGTTGTTGAGGGCATTGTTACTTCCAATTTGCTTCCCTAACGCATTCTCGACACCCGCCATTTCGAGGACGATTCGCACTGCTCCACCAGCAATCACACCAGTACCAGGAGAAGCAGGCCTCAGCATTACTTTTGCTGCTCCATAATCTCCCTCCGACCTACAATTTCTTCATTCTCCTTAGCCAACATTTGCAGTAAAACAGGGTAACCCAACATGTGAATACAACTGAAATACTACTTTAATATAGGATTCATAATTTGAAGCTTCTGTTACTTGTGGGAAAATTGAGTTTCAAACTACAATTTCTTGGCTGAAGTCGAGTTTGTTTGCTTTAGCTTCTCGCTTCCTAGAAACTGCTATACGTTCCGAAATGATTTTGGACATGTCAAAAGTGATTTTAACAAAATCACTCTAAAAAGCATGCCCTTACTCTGTATATTTGCATCTAAAATGAAAGCATTCTATATATATCTCTCATTCTCATGGTGCTTTTTAGGTACTAATTCTTGCAGCTGCAGATCGAACACTGGAAGCTCGATCGCTCGATCGAAAAAAGACAAGTTCTGCATACTCTAATTGACTAAATTGAACTGTAGGACTCTAGACTAAACTGGGAAACATGCCTTGTCAATTACAAACAACAACTCAATATAAGCAAAATGCAGCTACAGAACCAACAAATAACTCAAAACACCAACTTTCAATAAGGATTCGAAGTTCAACCTGCCTGCACACTACAGGATTGGGGTATTAAATAACTTCAAACAAAGTCATTGAACTATCGAAGTAAGGATTATACTTGAACTAAGGTGTTCTATAGACCAGTATAAGCAATAATCATCCAATTCTACTCTTCCTTAAATCCCATATTCCTAATTGAACGCATTCCCATTATCAGCAACTAAAGCATGACAATAAAGCTACTACAGAAGCCTCTATTAGTATCAAATTCAGTGGTATTGGAATTTTACAATTCGAAGACAAAGTCACGGACCTGTGGGGGAATGTGAGGTACTTGGTCATGGGGACAGTGACGATATTCCGGCGAGCATTGATCGCCGATTTCTGGACAGCGGAGATGACTTCCTTAGCTTTACCAACACCAACACCGACCTGCCCCTTTTTATCACCGACAACAACAATTGCCCTAAAATGCAACTGTTTCCCACCTTTAACCACTTTAGTGACCCTCCGAACTTGCACAACCCGCTCTTCGAACCCATCCCGCAGCTTGTCCTTCTTGATCTTTGAGCCGAATCCGCCCAATTTCTTCATCTTAGAATCCATTACATAAATATCATTTCCCAGAACACTAACTCCACTGTAAGCGGGGCCATAGAGCTCCTCGTAAGCGGCGGCAATTTCGTCCTCAGATTCTAATGGGCCCTCGTCGAAGGAGGGAGGCGCGACAAAGCCTTCCGGGACTTCAGGAGGGTCGTAGACAAAATCTTCATCGGGATTGAAGGTATCAAAGAAGGTAGTATCAATGTCTGAGGATTTGACACGAGTTGCAGAGAGAATCGAGGAGGAAATTGGGGCTACGGATAGGGCGGAGTGGACGCCGGAGAAAGGCTTCAATTGAGGAATTGGAAGACGATGAAAGGGAGAAGAGCGTACAAAATGAAAGGAAATGGGGACGAGAGTTGAAGAAGCCATTGAAGGACGGACGGAAAGGATTGAGAGGGAAGAAGCTTTGTAGGTCTCAGAGATGCTTATCCCAATGGGACTCCCTGCACGGCTTTGAATTTTACAGACTTACCCAAACGACGTCGTTTAAGAAAAAACATACATTACCCAAAAGGACACCCTTCTTAGATCATGTCCCTAAATTAACTAATGTCCTTCTTAGATTATAAACTTATGGTCGGTTCCTAAATTAACCCATGTGGGACATTTTCATCCAACACCTCCCCTCGAACAAATTACGTCTCCCCTTAATCAAGCCTCGACTCCTTTAGAGTTTTAGTCATTTTTTATTGCCTTCGAGGAGGTTTGACTCCTTTTTCTTTTTTTGAGTCCTTTGTTCGACATTCAAGGATTTGTATCTATTGGCACGACTAAGTTTAGGGCATGACTCTAATACCATGTTAGACGAACACGACTCTCCACGATGGTATGATATTGTCCACTTTGAGCATAAGCTCTCATGGCTTTGCTTTAAGATTCCCCAAAAGGCCTCGTGTCAATGGAGAGTATAGGATAAGTGGGAGCCAAAAGGCAAAAGTGAAATACCTCTACTTTTTTAGATTGGTTATGAGTTTATAATCTAAAAATACACTCTCTATTATCATGAGATCTTTTGGGAAGCCTAAATCAAAGTCAGGAGAGCTTATCCTCAAAATGGACAATATCATTGGAGAATAGTCTAACAATCCCAATAACTAATTAAGAAAAAACAGAAATAATTAGCACCACCTTATAATCATAATTAATTTGAGTATCTGCGTTCATAATCTTCCTTAATATCGTTAAAAAAAACACGCAATTATTTACGATTTCAGCTCAAAACACTTGCAATGGGTTCAAAATGATTCAAAACAGCAAACTTTTTTCTCTCTTGACGCAACAACAAAGGACATAAGTACATACACATTATATAATAACAGTACACAACAACAACAACAACTACTGTGTTTATGTTGTTTTGTTCATATTCTGTCGTTTCTCAAATAGTCTAGAATAGGGAATTTGAACCCACTAACTTCCGGCAGAATTTCAAGGTCTCCAAAGCAATCTTCAAAGGCTTCCACTTCCTTCCCATTATTATCATTATCATTATTATCATTATCATTATTATAATTATGATTATCATTGTTGTCATTCCCTTTTTCAGCTCCCGTATAGCTCCCTCTCTCAAAGTATGAACGTGAAAGTAGGAGGCTAGTGGCGCAAGGTGACTGTGGGAGCTCGTCGTCTTCTGATCTGTGTTTGAGCTGTTCGATCAACAGAGCTAAATTGTCATCCTCTTCTTCGTCCTTAATGTTCATGTTTGGGTAAGCTGAAGCTGTTGCTGCTGCTGCCGCCGCCTCTTTCCTTTTCTCCTCATTTTCGTCCCTGCTTAAATGCTTCTCCCCTTTATCAATCGTCACGTACTGTTTTCATCCATAACAACACCAACAAATTACTCATCTTAACTTCCTCAAAATTCAAACCTTTCCATTTTCATTCAAATATGTTCCTGGATTAAATTAGGCGTTAGCTAGCGACGAACATGACTTTTAAAAAATTTTAAAAGAGAACTACCCAATTTTCAAGTTTTAGTTAATTATCTTCCACTTATGTAATCATCTAATAATTATGGGTAATTTAATGGTAATTTTGTTTAGAAACCCATGTTTGTAAACTATAGGACAATAATTGAAATTAATTAAGCTAAATTAGAATTTTTAAAAAAATAAAGTTTAAAATAAAAAGAAAACAAGATCAACGATGTAAGGTGAGGAAAAGGTTTGTAACCGACGGCTGGGATGGCCCCACAAATGGGGGAAATCCTATCTGTAAAAAACAGAGAAATTATTTATAGGAACAAAGAACAAGGAACAAGGAACAAAACATCATATTTTACATGTTCAAAGTCACTTTTATATTTGTCCATATTATTATTATTATTATTATTATTTTTCCTTTTTCCAAGCGTTACACAGCAGCCATATTAGGAAAACCCTCACATCATTATTATATTACTTTTCTTTTTCCATAAAATTCTAATTATTCAGGGGAAAAAAAAAAGGAAGAAGAAACTCACGAAGTTCCTGCTATCATCCTCGTAAAGGGTAATTAAATCTCCCATCATCAGCCCATTTTCTTTAACGAAATCCCCTATTCATTGCAAGAAATGGAACAAATTAGTAAAATTTTGACAAAATTAAGAATGTTTTATGATGATGAAATACTAATAATTCAATTTGTGGGATTGAGACCTGTGCTTTCAAGAACATACATTCTACTCCTGTTGTTTGCCCAGTACCTACATGGATTTAAAACAAAACAGAATTTGAATTAAAAAAAAAAAAAAAAAAAAAAAAAAAAAAAAAAAAAA